AATAGAAGATGTACTCCATGCAGATTATCAAACTCAAAACCCATCAAAGAATGCTAAAAGAAGCGCTCTAAGGGGCGTTCCAAAGTCACCAAGTCCGACTCCTTCTAAACAAGAGTCGGATACAGGTGCGGCAGAAACACCTGTTTCAATGACACTTTCAGATTTCATGGGTTGGGAAGGTGATGCAGGTGACTCAGACATGAAGAAGGACTCTCAGGTTGTTACAGATGACTTGTGCAAAGACACGGAAGGAAAAATGCAAAAACTTCCCAACATAGACACCAACAAGAAGGTATCTTACCTTGAGAACTTGGGCGGCATGAGGAGCCCAACATCACGCCATTGAACAGAAAAGCAGAAGATGAAGCTGAAGATTGAACATGAGAATAGCTGAGTGATTATGTTTCATCCTTGGTCTATTCTTGACTTTTTTAGATAGGATGATTATGCAGAATCAACCCGTTTGAACAACTGTTTGATATAATGCCATCTGTACAATAAATAAGGATTCGTAGTCTAGTAGTTATCATAATCTGGCTTTTTGATAACTTCAGATATCAGTCTTTTGCCCGCTTCATCTTTATTTTCCCTTTAAGCTGTTATTAGCTAGCAAGGTAATAGCTTGTTCAAGCCATAAAGTCGTCAATACAACATAAAAAATAAGATTAATGAACAAATAGAACTCTAAACTCTTATTCGAAAATCACTCTGAATTTTGAACTCCTAAAATATGTAAAATAAATCCTAAACTTTTAGATTTATAACAAAATAAACTCTAACTGTTAACTTTTTTAACACCGTTATTGTCCAAACGGGTATTGTAATAGAGTTAAATTCATAGAAAAACAAATCCTGAAAAATATATGCATGAACAATAATAGTATTAAAAAGTTAATGGTCAAGGTTTGTATTACCATGAATTTAAAACTTTAAAGTTTGTTTCGCATATTTTAAGAGTTCAGAGTGATTTTTGAATAATAGTTCAAGATCTTCTTTGCTCATTAACCTTAAAAAAAAAAAAAGGATTCATTCAATTTGGATTTACAAAAAACCTTCTGTTCCCTTCTCTTAGGGTTGATTTCAAGTCATGCATACTCTGTGGTAAAAGGAGATCGAGAGGGAAGGAAAGAACATCACAATCAAACAGACCAAACATATTGGTCTCAGTCTCATTTAAAAATTAAACACCATAGAGGATGCTTATGCTGCGTACATACTTACACATTGAGGATTGAGATATATTCAATTTTATACATTAACAAAAACCAAATTGTGGGTTTCTCAAACTAGATTAGATCTTGCCACGTGGACCCAGCTTCGGAGGCTGTTGTGGGCCCTTAACAATGGGTAGAATGTCTCCTGAAGCTGTGGAACTGAAGTAAGCAAGGGTAGAACCACCTCCCAATATCAAGAACTTGAGGAGCAATCCTCTCTTTGTGAATGGAGCAGCAAATGTCTCAAAGAACTTGCTCTGCAAATCCAGACCAGTTCAAGAGCTATGAAATTTTGCGTTATTAAAGAGCTAAAGAGCATATATCACTAATATATACTATAGCTATGCTACTAATCAACACATTGACAAGTCAAACTAAAAATAAAAAATAAAAACACAGGACTATGCTCGTTAATGATCAACACTGCAGACTGCAGTCAACACTACCGTTATCGATACATCCACCACACAATCATAATGGATGCCAGGAAATGATCAATTTCTTAGCACATTGAATACACATTAAGAATGTACTAATTCTCGTGGGAATATGATAAAAAATTTGATCATTTTGACATCGCAGCTTTCATAGCTCAGTTGGTTAGAGCACCCGTTTAGTAAGCGGGAGGTCTTGAGTTCGACTCTCAATGAAAGCACAGTGTTTTTCTTGATTTTTCTATTTTGTTTGTTCCAATTAAAATTCCTATTTCCTAGGCATTAAATTAAATCAAAAGTGAAGAAGATTGGAGAGAAGAAAAGAACCTGAAGAGGGTTATAAGGTGAAGGGGCATCAGAGCCAACAAATCCCACTGCCCAGTGGTGTTGCCCAGATGTTCCAAATCGAAGTACACACTCTTGTCTCCGTACTTTGCCACCAAACCACCAGTCCTGAGCAATAACATATTTTAAATGCATCACATAAAAGCGAAACATCGCAGTACAAAACAAAGAAAAGAAAACGAAACGACAAGCGATAGGCACCTCAATTTTTTGGGTCTGAAATTGGGGCGGGAGGGCCTGACGGAGAGCTTAGTTCCAGTGAGCGAACTTCCGGCAAGGCCCTTGACGGCAGCTGGTTGAACAGCTGCTACGGTCTTCAGTTTTCCGCCCGTGTGCGGTGAAGCTGTCAAGCTGGTGTGCGTCGGTTTTTTAACTGTTAATTGGATCTGAGAGTGCCACGTGGCCATTTTTGTCTTCTTTGGGCAGATTTTGAGAGTTCATTCAGGAGGTGCCACGTGGTCTAGGGAAGCAAAAGCCCATCAAATATAGCAGGGAGAATGACACATGGATGCTAGGAGGATGAATTAATTAAAATTAAATTTTAAATATCAAACTTTAAAATTTATAAGTTTAATTTTTAATTTTATAATTTTATTATGATGAATTTATATTTTAAATTTAAATTTTTAATAAAAAATAAATTTAATTATATTAAAATTTTAAAAAATAATTTATAAATTTATTATAATAGAGTTGTAAAATTGAGAGTTAATTTTGTAAATTGTTAAAGATTGATACTTAAAACTTAATTTGAATTAATTGATCTTCTTGAGACCTATATTGTATTCTCCTAATATTATATCCATCTTCAGTTTTTATTCAATGCTAATCAAGCACATTTATTCTTTTAATTTTATAGAAGATTTTATTTGATATTTAATTTTATAAATTATTTTTTAAGTCTTTTAATCTTAATATGATTAATTTTATAAAACAATTTTAGATTAAAATTTTAAATATTGATAATAAATTAATACATTATCAATGATGACATATTAAATTTGATTTTTTTTTTAAATAATAACACTTAGCATAAAAATAATCAGTTAAAATTAACAATTTTAGAATTAAATGATTGAAAAGGTAATTTACAAAATTAAAGACTAAACTGAAATTTTATATAAAGTTATAGGATGAAAGATATACTTTAGCCATAACTTAGTATCTTTTCAACAAAGTATTTAATTAGCGTTGTACTACTAAGTTGGTTAAAATTTTCAAATTATATATTTATTTTTTTTTAAAAAAATTATAATTTTTTATTCCTATGAGAAGAATGATTGAATCCTATTATCAATATAATAATTTTATATGTTGGTAATTTATAAGTATTTTTATGGGTACTTTTTAAGATGTTGATGTGCTCTCTAAAGGAGCAATTTAGCAAGCTTTTTTTTTTTATTGAAAAAATGCTTACAGCAATAGTGAAGTTTTTAATTGATGGCTCTTAATCTTAAAGGGAAGGTGAGAGATAATTAAAGATACAGAAATTAACATCTAATTAAAGGGACAACCTAACCAAATAATCAGCATATATAAATATTGGAGCTTCTACTAAAATGATAAATAAACAAGCTCCAATTCTTATGATAAAAAAAAAAAAACAGGCATTATAAACGATATCTTTAAAATGGTGTGAATCAGTAATCAAAAAATAATCTGAATATAGGTTTAGTAAATATCCACAGGTCAAAAAAACATTTGCCCAACAGAGATTTAGGCATTGAATAATGGCAAGCAGCTCCACAATTGCTAGCGGGACATTAACAAGTTTGCAATTGAAGCGTCTAACTTTGTTCCCATATTTATCCCAAATGGTTCCTTCTCAACAACTATTACCATTGGATAGTACAGATCCATCCACTTTGAGTTTGATAGTGTCATTTCTGTATGTAAAGCTCTCCTAACAGCGTTTGTTCACACAAGGACAAGGAGGGTGCTAATGTGTTAAGATCTATACTTGAGCATGCTCTAAACAAGCTAGAAAAGGCTGCATGGTGACTATGAGTATCATCATCGTCAAAATCTTTCTTACATCAATCAATCCAAATATCCTAATTTTTGTAATCAGACAGGGTTGTCCAATTCATGTTTTTTTTGTGTACCATTGACTTATCTCATGACTTGGATTCCATTTGACGCAATCCACTTTAATAGTGATAGCAAAGGTGCTCCAATAATTCTCTATAACCGCCTAAAGAGCTTTCAAACCCCTGTCACCAATCACCTAAATTTTCTTGTAAAAAGAAATCACAGCAGTAAATTTTATAAATACAAAATCACTTTTAAATTTATTTTCAAATAAATTATTGGCTTATGTGGGCTGAATCTCCATTTATTATCATTAAAAAAGTGGTAATATAACTAAAATACAACAAAATTATATACATTTACGGGAATACGTGTTTATTTATTTTTATAACAAATTCAAGCAAGTGAATCATATATATATATATATATATATATATATTATTTATTATATAATAAGTTTTTATTATTAATATAATCAAAGCTTTAAAATTTATCTATTCTGATTTGATTGGATAATAATATATTAGTATTAAATAAGGGTGCACTAAAGTCTTCTCTTTTTATTAATTATAAAATAAATTAGGGGTATATTTAAAAATTTAAAAGAATATTGCTATGTTAATTAGATTTTTTTTAACCTATAATGCAAATACCTTGCAAAATTTATATATTCTGAAACCAAAGGAAGACTTTTCTTATTTAGAACTTAGGATAGAGAAGTTGCATATTTTTTTTTTAATTATTGCTATGTGTTATAAAGGCTTAGTATAGTTTTTTTAAAAAATAAAATAAAATTACAAATACACAGAATTTATTATACTGAAATTAATATAATTATATATAAACTAATGTAACATTATATATATTGAATTTGAAAAAATGTAAAAGAGTCTAAAAGTGTTTATTCCCCACCAAAATTGAAATTATACCCGACGTATAGTGAGCAAGCATCGCAATGCACTGGTGGGATAAAATACAGAGAGGCTAAAGAGGAGAGAGGCACTATTTATCTGCTTCTCCTTATCCGATCCCTTTGGCTCCGTAGTCCCAATCCTCAATGTCACTTCTGCAACTGCCTCCCTTACACTCTCTCAAGCTCTCCACCCCCTTCCTCCATGGCTCCTCTCCTCTCTCCAAAACCGCTTCTTGTCTTCCCCCTCCAACCATTTCTCCTCCTTCCTTCCTTCCTCCGATCAGGGCCATGAAATCGATGCAGGGAAGGGTCGTCTGTGCCACCAACGACAAGACCGTTGCCGTCGAAGTCGTTCGTTTGGCGCCTCACCCCAAGTACAAGAGGCGTGTCAGGAAGAAGAAGAAGTATCAGGCTCATGACCCTGACAATCAGTTCAAGGTTGGGGACGTTGTTCAGCTTGAGAAGAGCAGACCTATCAGTAAGACCAAGACCTTCATTGCCATCGCAGTTCCGGCCAGGGTTTCCAGGAAGAAAGAAGATTCCGGTGAGCTTGGAATTCCGTTGGAATCGCAGCAGGAGCAGCAGCCGGTCGCTTAGGGTGATGTCAATTTTATGTTTGATTTGTTGATTGTGCTTTCCTTTTGTTGAAGTTGTTTCGGATTTAGAGGTCTTATGATGTGTTCGTGATGGATATGTATGGCTTACACTTACATTTATTTGAGCTTATTAAATATGCTATATTCTGAATCATGACGCTTCTGAATTTCTTTAGTCAGGGATTTAACTTCAAGTAGCTCATTTACAAGTTACAACATTTTGAAATATTTATTTTTTTCCATTTCAGATATTGTAAAGAGAATGGCAGTTGTTTTCCTAATTTTTTTGTAGATTGTATTTGTGTGGCGTTGAGAAGGAAATTGAGATATTCTTGAATTTAGGGACGAAATTTGGTCCAGCCAAATTTTGTTCTCTGTTCTAGGTTACATGTATTGTCCTGGGACGTTTAGAGTTTCAGTGATGCAAGACAAAAGTTGTGTGAAGTTGGTCTTGGTTTATGATAGTTGCAAATGCTTAGTTATAAAACTGGATTTCAGAATTCATTTTGCCTGAAAGTGTTTAATGAAATGTTTGTGAAGGTTGTTAATGCACCTCTATATCATTTTGGTTTTCATTTTTCTGTAATGTATTCATGATGAAAGGAAATTTCTTCTGCATAAAGATTTCATTTGATTTTTGGATTTGTTCTAGGGTGCAATTATATGACCTTGAGGGGGGAAAATTGAGATATTCATAAATCTGAGGATACTGCGTCCGGCCAAATTTTGAATTTTTGCTCCAAAATTATAACTTTTGTCACGAGGAGTTTATAATTTGAATGCTTATAGTGACAGACAAAACTTGATGAAATTAGAGTAGGCTGTTGGTAACCTCAAAAATTCGGAGTTGTATTACGTTGCACTTTCAATGCTTATTGTGCTAGACAAGTGTGGTGGAGGTCATTGATGCAGATAGCAATATTTACATCATAAAATCTTTTGCTTTACTTACCTTATTACTTTACTTCTTCATTTTTTATTAACCTGTGTTTTCTCATTAGTGGCAATGGCTCGACCCATAAGGTCCATATTTTTTAAATTAGAAAAACTTTAGTTGAATTGGTCTCAAGGGCCCACTAATATCAAAACAGATCTCACAGCTCAAAGAGTATTTACAAAAGTGTTTACAGGTTACTTCTTAACAGGTTTTCTATTGATTATGAGTTTCAAATTCACACCTATATGAATTGCATTTTTACCTATTGGACCAACTTCATTTGCCCATGAGATCCAGGATTTTTATCTCACTGCCATCTTTTTCTCAAGTAAGGAGGAATCGCTATTTCAAGATTTTAATTGTTGATCCTGGCTTTTGTTTATTCTCATTTCGGTGCCTCAGTGTATCTCATTTTCTTGTCAACTACCACAATGAGATAGCCTATAACTGAGGAGATGAGAAATCCAATTCTGTGGGTACATTTTGGGTTGGGATCTAAATGCAATTGATCTTGGTTTATAATCCCAGACAAAGGAATCAGTCTATTGCTGGGAATTGAATGATAGTTCCTTGATGACTGCGAGTTATGCGTCTTTTTAATGAAAAGTCAATATGAGAGGGAGAAAAGCAAGGCCTGCTGATAAATTAGTAAACTCTACTATTTTATTAGATATTAGATCTTTCTGTATGTGTGCCCGTGTGTGTAGGCACGTACATGTGTATCTTGAAACTGACATGCTATGTTTTTCATGGAAGATCCACGGATGCCGTTGAAAGTGTATTTGTAAAATTGAACATCGCATAAAGTGCACATGCATAAAATTGCAAACACGCTGAAATGTTGAAAACTTTGGATGAGAGAGAAGCGTGTAGATTTCTATGAAAGCTGAGTTTAAACATTATTATTCTTAGTCCCTTCCCTGAAGCTTGTTTTGTTCTTGCCAACTTCAAACAGCTCGAATTGTCCTGCCTAGTGCATTTAAAATTTATGTTCGAAGAGTATGGCAATGTAACTTTCTACATAGCACTGTACATACATGCGGTTGACACCAAGTAGGTCGTAGAATAAAAGATCACAAACTTGGTGAACTCTGATAGTTCCATTAAAACAAGTGTACGAGGCTTTCTATAGAGTTAGGTCGGTTTTTAAAAGAGATAATATCTCTCCTTATCAATTTAGAGTTGATCTTCGAGCGTTGGATTTAATTTCAGTGTACTGTAATACAATAAAGAAACCACATTTCATTAATAAAATAATAATGCTATACATGAGACAACCTTAAATTTCTTGGTTCTAAAAGTTTTGGTGTCTCTTCCTCTCTATGGAGTGCCAGATTCAGATGTACATTTACTGCAAGCCCTCCTTTCAACTAGAACAATGAATGAAACAAACCCAGAATAAGGGATGATCGGAAAGCAGTTAAGCTATATTTTTGCTGAACCAAACACTAACTCTAACTAGAAAGAAAGCCTATGCGTATCAAAGCTAACTTAAATCTATCTATCTAGCTGATAACAATCATAATAGTATCAATTTTATGTTTGATCAACCATCCTCACATTGTAAGCTGGTTCTGATATTTCTTAATGTACAAGATATAAGAGTGTTGACAGATTCCACAGACTCCATAGTTAACTTAGCTGTAGGAGATGTATTAGTAAGGGCCTGGAAAGCCACTGTGAGCAAAGACCCTCCTTCTGTGTTTCCCTCTTCCTCTCTTGAAGTTATGACCAATGGCCTTGCATCCAGCCCATCAGGGAGTATGGAAAAGCCTGAGGGAAGTATGGCTAGATTGCTAGAGTCACATCCTGTCATCACAGACTGAATCCCTGGGATGTCCACTGGAGCATACACCACCAACGATTCATATGCATTTGTGCAGCTATCTTGCAGAACCCACATGCTGTTATCTTTTGATTTAATTGTCTGCAAGATGTGAAGAATCAGATTATGTGTGATTAGAACTGATTAGGAATCAGATTATGTGTGATTTGCTATTGCGAAGGACTTACTTGGACGGTTACTGAATTGCCTCGATCCTGTCCCTTGGCCAAGTTTGCTATGGATTGCACTGATGCACCATTGGACATGATATCCCACTAGAACAAAGATGATGAAAAGTTAATCCCTAGTTGTTATAATAACTTGCGATATAGGCTAAAGAATTTTCAGAGGTGTTACCTCAGATCTGCGAGTTTCATCCCTCAAGAAATCAAACAGAACGTTAGGAGAAACTGGCAGCCACACAGAAGAAACAGCACACAAGATCACCCCTAGAGGTTCCCCAGGATCATTCAAATTCTTCCTAGAACTTATTCTGATGTCTTCCCCTGTTTTGCTGGTAACCTTGGTCCATGTATGGAAGCTTGAAGCTCCGACAGCGTGGCAGAAATTACTTGTCATTCTCTGGGCAAGCTTCAACATGCTCTTCCTTCCTGCTAACGTGGCAACACCTGAACAAGTGGAAATCGTCATATCTGGTTAGCACTATCATAACCAATTTTAGAGGTATTCTTTTATATCAGTGCATTTTAGAGGAATGAAATTCATGTTGATGAAGAGAGCTATTGTGTACTGAGTCTCACCAGTTGAATCCTTCATGGGAACATTTGTGGCCATGAAGAAAACGAGACGTTCACATTGAAGTTGGAGGGTGGCAACCCAGTGCCTTGCACCAAAAGCCATGCCACTGTTAACTATGGTGCGGTACATTGTGTGGACTGTGCTCTTCTGGCATTCCAAGTGCTCCACCCAGGTTACCTGAGAACACAATCATTGGGTTTTAGGCTTTAGCTGCCTTCTACTGAACTAACATCTTTGCATTTCAATACTTGAAAATCATCAAAAAAAATTTGTTGCTGGGGTTAAGTCTTTTAGGATGAACATTTCTTTGGTACGTAGTTAAGGTATGCTTAAATTTTGCCTGAAATTAAATCTTGTTTTCAACTGAGACCAACTAACTTTTCTTTTTATTATGAGTAATGGCATGTGGGATTGAACCTGCGATCTGGTGCTTACAAGGATGGACATGGTGTGCTGCCAGGCCAGGCCACATGGCTATCAACAAGACGAAGTAATTTCTTTTTTTTAAAAAAAAATACAACAATTCTTCAAAGATTAGAGTTGTCATCAAATTTCGCAGAATGCTTTAAGAAAGTTATTATTATTCTTTTTAAAAAGGGAAGAAAAACTTAAAGGTAAAGTTTCTCTTAAACTTTCCTAGAACCAGCTAAAAGAGAAAACAACTTAAACTTGATAAGGGTAAGATCATTAATTTATAATTAGCTTCCTTTTAATCCTCTTCTGAACTAAACAAATGTTTTTCCCCATCCTTTATTTGAACCAAACAAACCTTTCGAATCTGATAACAACTTTCCTAATATCAGGTTAAAATAAAACACCAAAAGTTTGGCTGACTTTGGTCATTAGAAATGATTATAATTTGACAATGATAGGATACTAATAGTATAGTGGCCAAGTAACAAAGGTACCCAGAAAATTCAGAATTTTAACCTAAATTTGATATGATCGGGGATCCTTGGACGTAATTTTGAGGAAAAACTTTGTGAAAGTCTTGAGCATGATGATGGACAGGGTAGAAAGAAATGAAAGGAGGAAAGAATCTTATTATGATGCTGTGGAGTGAAAGAGAGAAGAAGGAAAAATTACCTTGCAATGGCCGTTAGACTTGTCGTGAATAATGCAGCCAGAGGGGCGTTTTCGACATTTCACGAGGGAGGCATCGATGTTGTCTTCAACCTTGTCGACGGAGACGTCCACGACCGCCCACTGCTCTGCGCTTAGTTGCTTGCAGTACCTCACGAAATACACTTCTCTTGTGGCCACCATTGGTGTTAGCATTTGCACCTCTGCGAACATCTGCATCCACCATTTTCACTTTCAATTTCCAAAACCACAACACTCGTGAATGCCATAGCTCTTAAGCTTTAGGGATTGGCCAATTGGGTTGTCTGTTTTGTAAACAGACAACCATGCCGCTCATAGTATCAAAATACATTGCAAATTCCACTAAGATAATAGTTTTAAAGCTGATAGTTAAAATCATAATGTAAATCATCATAAACAAAGCATTTCATTAAGTTGGTCAATATACTAATTCAACAATTTATCCGTTCAACTAATCAAGTTAATCCAAGTTTATTGCTATAATTATATAAGTCTAAAATTAGTTTAAATTTCTTTTTTTTTAATACATTTAGTTAGGATCTATTATATTTGAGCATTGTTAAATCTAATTAGAGTAATTCTCCTAATGTTATTTTTCTCATCGACAAGGTTCAAACTTTCGACCTTGTTTTAAAAGAATCAAATGCCATCCACTTAGTTCAATCACCATTGGTGCATTTAAATTTTTGAAATGTGCAGTTTAAAACAATTGTGTCAAGTCAATCCGTGTAATACATGGGATTTGAGTCTAGGTTTTAGTTAAGTCATGTGTTAAGCCAATTAACTCACATATGTATGAACAAAACTTCTTTGCTAATTAGTCCTAAAAGTATGTGGTGGTAAAAGTAATGCATGCAATGCGCCCAAAGAAATAAAGAGAATGCAGGTAAAGTGATGTGATTTTTACACATAAATATATTTTTATCATTTTTTAAATATATAGTAAAAAATTAATTTAAAATCTTATACAATATGTATCATAGGAGTACGGAAAAGGGGGGGGGGGAGGAGGAAACTGCGGAAAAGAGTCGGTGAATGATATTGGAACTTCCGTAAATATTCTCTTTAATGCTTTTTTGTATCTTTTTATCATTTCACTTTCTCATATCCAAACAAAAGGCTTTGTTTAAAGTCACGAGCAACCTTTTTTTTAAAATAAAAAAAATAGAAGATAAATGGGTTATTGTAAACCACGTAAAACTTTCTATCTAATGTAGTAGTAAAATTCCGGGGGGGGGGGGGAGAATCTCATCTCTGAAATTGAATTTGAGGCCATGAAATGATTCTCTTAAACGTGGAAAGTTTGATAAAGTAAAAGGACATCATTTTCTATAGATGGACCACACTAGAGAAATACAAATATATTATTTGAAAAATATCTTATTACTGTACGTTACTGAATGTAATGAAGATGATATTGAAGATATACTAAAAACATGTTTTTTCAAAGCTTATTAAAGCTTTGATTACTAAAAACACTGATTAAAGCTTTGATTAGGTGGGCCCACAGAAAAAACAAGGAAAATTAAAGTGAATGATTCTTGCTTTCTTTGTTTGTTTGTTTGGGAACTCACCAGATGAACCGCACCATTCCTGTGAGGCCCTTCTCCGCTGCAGATGACATCTACAGTTGCTGCTTTTGATATCAACCATGGAAACATCTCCTTCCACTGATTCTGCATATATCACCCAAACATGATCTCATTCTCATCAACATAAACATGTTTTAATCCTATCCCTACAAGTCCATTATGATCTTCTATTGACAAGTTTAGTGTTTGTTTTCCTTGTTTAGTGGATAATCCTCTAATCAATTTGGCAATATTTAATCTTAACAGCACATGTCTCTAGATTTAAAAAATACATATAAAAGCACTTATAAATCATCTGTCAACAAATTTTATTTATCAATAGTGGAATTTAAACTTATAATATCGTGGATCATGAATGATTCATAATCAAAACCCTTATATTGGCAGAATTTAATAACGAGTTAATAATATCAAGGCACTAGAAATTGGTCCTGCCATTAAACAGGTTAAAGTAGTAATTCAAAGGTTAATGATCCAAATTAAACATGGTTGAACTACAATCAACTCAGTCATTATTAAAATAATATAAATTAATTAAAATATATAAAAATATCTATATATGACTCTGAAAAGAGTAATATTTAATTAAAAAAAGCATCAATTCACAAGCAAATGAACATTAAACAGAGTTACTATAGCACAAATCTAACAATGCCGTTTCGGGCTTAGTAAGGAGAGGAAAAAAAATCTAACCTGATCAATCCCTGTTCAAAACTCTTGATCAGATCAGTTAGGAGATTAGTTAACCGGTTTACTAGTCTAACTGCCAACCCGGATTGGACTTTAACACCATGGTTAATATCGAGTTCATTTGACTAAGTTGAGTCATAATTGATATACAAAAGCTAATTTGCTAGACTTTAACTTCACCGGTCTCTCTATAGCCCGAGAGAGAGAGAGAGAGAGAGAGAGATGTTTTAGCTTTAAATATAAGAGATTTGAAGGAGGCAAGGCATACCACATCTAAGAATCTCTGAACGAGGCGAGGGGGATCAACAAAAACAACCCCAGTTTCTCTGGAAGCTTCAATGGATCTTTTGGGCCTTGCATGGCTCGAACCTTGACCTGAAGAAGACGCGAACTCCTTCACGTACTCATCATAGTTGAGAATTTCCCGACCAGTCTCCAAGCTCCGAACCCACAACGGCTCTCCCACAGTGGCCATTTTGACCAGTTCGTCCAAGGCCTGATTCACAATCTCCATGATCCTGGACTTGTCCAGCCCAAATATGCCAGTGTAGAAATCCAACGAGCTTCTGTTCTCTTGCTCGTTCCCTCCTGAACACGACGGAGACGCCGTCCCTTGCGGGTACTTCCCTATTACTGCTCTTAACTTCTCCACCTGCAACACAGTACAGCAAGTTTTCAAGTACTTCTCAAGTTTCAATAAGTTTCTGCAACTGCATGCATGAGATTGTGTGTGTTGTCGAACCTCGGCTTTGAGTTTGGCGTTTTCGATGCGAAGTTGTTGTTCTTCGGTGGACATGACGGAGTCTCTGCTTGTGGTGGCCATGCCACAGTTGGGACAGCAAGCTTTGTTGATGGTCTCTCGCATTTGCTTGTTTTCTTCTCTCAGTTTCTCGATTTCTGACTTCAATAATGAATTCTCGTGACGCTCTTGTATTGCCTGCATGCAATGCTTGTTAGACACGTACGCAAAAATGATGGATTTTTTGGTCTGATTTTTTTTGATCTCTGAAAAAAAAAAAAAACAAGAAGAAGAAACCTTGATTTGGGTTCGACGATTCTGGAACCAGAACTTGACTTGTCTAGGAGCAAGGCCTAGTTGCTTGCTAAGTTGTTGCCTTTGCTTTTCATCAGGATGTGGTGACTCTTTAAAAAGCCTGAAACATAATGTACATTATTAATTCTTCTCAGCCTACTTTTTTCTGTCACGACACATTTGATAAACTCTTTTCTCTAAATTTATATTTTTTTAACACTCTAAACTTATTATATACTCTCTCCGCTACTATTCTAGAGGAAGTCATAGTCCTTAATATAAGTCATTGTTCATTGTTTTGTGTTCAATTTAATGAATTATTCCACAAATACCCTTTGAGCTTTATCACGTTCCAATGTATGAAAATATTCAATGACGGTATTTAGCAGGGGATAAATTTGAAAGTAATTCAATTTTCAGACAACTTTTATTGTTTTAATTAACTTGTTTCGATTTAGATGAGTTAATTAGAAGTGATGATTTGCATAAAAATTAAAGGGAGCAGTTTTTATTATATTGGGAGAGATCTAGACTATTGAAATATTATATGTATTATGATTGAGCTTAATATTTTTAAAAAAGCAACTTCCTCCTAGTCTTAATTAAAATGATATTTTGGTTATGTAAGAATTTTAAAAAATAATGTAATTAACAACTAAAAAGAGAGTTTCCTTTGCAATCCGACAGAGCTCATTTTCCCAACACAATTGGAAAGAATCCAAAATTGCAATCCTGTTCTCAAAATTATAAATATTAATATGTCACTATTTTTTTACACAAGTATAACTAGATTTCACTGTTCATAACTCTGTGCTGTGAATAAGGTGGTGGCTTTCAGTGATTCCCTATATATTTTATTTTGAGTTGATATTAATATTTTTCTTTTCCAAAACTTCACAAAGACCCATTCCATTGGTTTCTCTCCAAATTAGTGAGTGATGATTAGTTGGCACCTAACATTTGCACACAAAAATCACCCAACATTAAAAATTTCGGGGGAAAAAAATTAAACTTTTCTCAACTTTCTGAGTAGTTTATTCTCACTTTCTCTCACTAGCAATGCCAATACTCTGAAGAAACTTCATTGAAAGGTAGATTATGCTCGACTGATTAGCTAGGATGAACATATATATAGCATTCTAATTTAAGTAATCCCTTCTGAACACATTCATATGTGTTTTGTTTGGTGATGTTATCTTCATTATGTAATTGAAATATTAATTCTGAAGAGAGAAAAAAGATGAAACCGAAATTAACATTAAATAGATATAATTTAACGTACGCTTCCATTTCTCTGATCTGCTCAGCAGTGTGCCTGTGATATTTCTTCCGCTTCTTCTTCTTGTTCTTGTTGTCTCCGTCGCCGTCATCGTCATCGTCATGCTCTCCTTCTCCTTCGAAATCAATATCGTCCGATCTGGATCTCGTGTGGCCGGAGTTCTCGCTGCTAATCTCCACTGTTTCATCTCGCCGGCCTCCTACGCCTCCGCCGCCGCTCCCTTCGTCCCCCTCCTCCACCTCCCTGCTGGACGCGGTAGCCCCGGCAGCCACAGCAGGTTCCCTGTTTCGGAAAATCCCAGCCTTGATTGACAGCACAGAAAAATCAGTCAGAGAATTCAAAAAACAAAAAACAAAGTGACGAAGTTCAGCACCCGGGGATGAAGAAAGGTGAGAACTTTAATGGATAATATCACTTACGAGGCTAAGAGAGAGAGCCGGAGAAGCGAAGAAATCTTTAGTGTGAGAAGTTGGAGATGGGTTATTCGACATGTCCACGCCCATTTGCTTCAAAAACAACAACGTTGGATGTTGTGTGTGACGACGAATGCTTAAGTTTTTTAAGGGGCAAAAATGGTGGATGAGAGAGAGAGAGAGAGAGAGGGTAAAGGACTGCTCAATTTAAGAATATAAAAACAAAAGGAAGGAACTCGCTAAGTTTTATTTTAACTATTTTTTATTCCATTTTGGTTTTGTTTATAATTTCGAGTTTTATTAGTTTGGACGGTAATGAAAAATGAGATAAAAATTGACAGCAAAAAAGGAGGGAAGGCTGGTAGGGTTGACTGTTAGATATTTGGTGATGAGAGAGAGTGAGACCCAACTAACGTTAAAAGCAGTTGAATTTATGAATCCAACGGTTTTTTTTAAAAAAATTAAAATAAAAACACAAAGAAAAATTAAGGATTCTTTTGTCCAGGGTTTAGCCAGCTTAAGTGGCTAGCTCGTCCGGCTTAGTGGCTCAGCAGTTAAGGCTGTGTTTGGATGTTTGTGATGGGAAATCAGTGTTTTTTTCCGGTTTGACTCTGTAATTCACTTTTTCCAGTCGAGTGTGGACTCTCTGGTCTTTTGTCTGCTTCAGCCTGCTGACTCGCTCGTACAGCCACAGGTCATAACTGTCTTTGGTGTCTATCTCGAATTTATTACTATTTCAGATTTTTCACAAACATTAAAATTAGGATCAACGGGCGCCTCTCTATTTAAAAATATAAAATATTTTTAATTATATTTTATTTTTTAATAAAGTAATTATTTATTTTTAAATTAATTATATCTTTTTATATTTATCCCTATTAAATATTCTATAATAAATATAAAATTATTATTAATAGAGGCAATCTTTAAAAAAGACAATGGTTATATCTTAAAAGATTAAAAATATTTTATATTTTATATGATTCAACTTCACAAAAAATATTTTATATTTTTTAACAGAGAAAGTAGTAAATAGTAATAATATCAAAGACCCAAAAAAATGTAAAAATTAAGGGTTTAAATTATTATAATTTGAGAGATTAAGTTGCACTTAGTTATTTCAAAAACAAAATTGTAATCAAGTCAAAATTATAGATTTAGCCAAAAAAAAGTCAAAATTATAGAGATTAAATAATTATTTTCAAAAAATAAGAACTACTCGTCTATATGCATGTAGTAAAAGAGTTAAAAACAATTGTTTACACAAATCTAGTTCCCATTTTAGATTATTTGTTTATATAGGATCTTGAATTGTCATTCTCCCAAAATACATTAAGAGGGTTCCGGAAAACAACTTAACTCACATCGATCAGAATTATTAATTAGTACTTAACAGGAAGAATTATGATTAAGCACAAAAATGAAAAATCATTTATGGGTAAGGTCATAAGGAGCTTGAACTTAATTGTAAAATCATTTTGCAGGAAAATATATAGGACGTGAGAAATGAAGAGAGTAGAAACAATGTGATGGTAGATGGAGGGTTTGGGTGAAGTCGTATCATATGAAAGCACCTAACCCTAGTAAGACAATGCAAGAGCATATACATGCAACACAGCCAATGAATACTTCACTATTGCTTCTGCACAGTACAGTTATCAAGGCACTCATATGACTCCAAGTTGATTGGAGGGTTTGGTGAATCTAAATTTCACAACCTGGTTGGTTGGTTGGACATGTGTTCCTTTGTCCTTTTCCTTTCTACTCCCTTTACTCTCCAATATGTAAGATTCTTTTAACTATGTTTAGAAGAATTAAGAAAAGTAACTGAAAGTTTCTTGAATCGTTAAATAAGTAAACGATTATCACTGATTTTCAAAGATTTCATTCCAATTAAAATTAATACATTTTAATTAACATTTACTTTATTTTTTTTTCTGCTTTGCAAGGATCCAGCATGATGTGCATGAGGGGAATTTCAAATAACATAAAACATTTTTTTTTGTGCTCTAGAATTAATTTTAGCAATTTTAGTAAAGAAAATTTAAAAAAAATTCAAAGGGAAGTGAGAAGCAGGGGAGATTCGTCCCTACTATAAACTAATTCAATTGGCAGCTTGCAGACAAGCCTATCATCCACCAAAAATTTAATCATTATTGTATACATAGGATTCAAACTTGAAATTTTTAGTTAAGTTGGACCAATTTCATAGCCAGATGATCCAAAGCACCTAATCATATATTTACTTTCTTTCTTGTATAATATCCCTCTACTGTATATTTAATAATGGTATTGGTGAACAAGATTTTTTTTTTTGGGACCGGAGTGAACAAGAAAAATTTAATACTATCAACTTTGTACAAATTAAAGTATTCTACATTTTGGACAACCCTTAATTGGAAGAAATTAAAATGTCCTATATTTAAAATAGGAGGGATTGAAGTACTTCTTTCTTGGTGGACAACCTCCTCCGTTTCTATTTCTAACTTTTATTTATATTTCTACTAATCTTTCATGCATTATAAAAAAAATGCCACCATTTCCCTTTCATTTTTTCTTACTCTGTTGCACTTGGACATGGAATATTTTATGTAAAACAAAATTTACTCACCCAGTTCAAAATTATAAAACATTTTTAATTAATTTTTACTTTCAAGAAAATAGTTAACAAGATAAAAGATTATCTTCCAAGTAAATTTCATGTAATTTCACGCAGCTTTACATATAAACGAATTTTTGTATAACAGATTTAAAACATGTGCCATCAATCCCTCTCTCTTATTTATTACTATATTTGTTTAATTTAAACTATAGGGTATTAGGTAAGTTATGTACATTCACTCACACCCTTACTTTATTATATTTCATTCAAGTAACTAATGAGAATATATTAAATAAGTTAAATATTATATTTATTTTAATTAATAGTATGACTATAAAGTTTTTAGCAAAATAAAGATTTTAACAATTTTTTAAGAAACGTAAATTAATTAACTATAACATACTTCCCCCATCCCCATATATAGTAGATAGTGTTTTCTAAAAACTTATTTTATTCTTAAATATAAGGAGTGTCATGATGTTTTTAAGTAACTAAATAATTTTACCCTTATCTTAAAAAAAAGATGAGATATTGTAAGTTTTACCTACTATCATTATGATATTAATTATGACATTAGTAGAGGCAAAATTGAAAAGCCATTATGATTTTATATGATTCCAACTAAATAATAGCTTTTTGTTGATATATAGGATTGGATTAAAAACACTTTATATATAGGGATAGAGGGAGTATAGTATACATTATATTTTATTTTTTTAATAATAAAAAAACTACCATGTGTGTCTTTTTGTTTTTATTTATAAGCAAAACTATAAATTTTAACAAACATTTATCATATTTTTCTCAAATTGTTCCTTATAAAGTTAATGTTTATTTTCACTAGACAAATTTATTTTATTAATTATAGGGATAAATTAATCTTTTTTAATTTGAGACATAATCATTATACTTAACTAATTTTCTTAAATTATGTAAATTAATTATTTCCTTTGATTCTTTTTATAAGTCTCTTCCAATTACTTTATCAAATCTAATGAGATATTGTTAGATTGTTAATATTGTCTCAAAATGAAAAGATATTTTCCAACTTACTCTTAATAAATGTACCATAAACGTTTTTTCTCTCACGGAACTTCTTATTTCCACTCATCAGAAAATTGTAAAAAAGATAAAATAGAAAGAAATTCATTAATGACTCATGTTTTTAATAGAAAGTCACTTATAAAAAGAAATATAATTTTTTTTAAAAAAAACTTATATATAAGATCAGATAGAGTTTTTTTCTTTTACATTTAAAAATAGAGGATATAGAAGGAAGCTGGGAAGGAGGACTCGACAGTAAAGGTGGAGAGACCACAATCAAAAAAAAAAAAAAAAGCAAAGAAAGAAAGAAAGTGCAGAGACAGCTTTTGAGGAAGTTTTCAGCTAATTTTGTTATAAAAAAGAGAAACCGCAACGCAAAACATGGAATTTTTTGGAAATAATGAACAACTAATGGTCTCGATCTTACATTGAATTTTAGTTCTGAATTCAACGAACTCTCATTTATACATATCCACAAACCAGACCCCATAAACAAAGTCCACACACATGACACGTATGATATTATACTATATACTTGTACGTACTAAATGCTGAAAGCTACCACATCTCTCTCACAAAGGACAAATTATAATTTAATTGCCTGTTGTCTATGCATTTATTGAAATTAAATTGATTCGGAGATTTTTCTATCTGTCTACAACCAAAGATTCAAAATCTATAACACAATCCATAATTTTCCTAGATGATTATGTTTCAAAATTGAATCAAATTACATCAATATGAGTCAGACTTAATTTAAATAGGATGAAATTCTCCCCACATGGCATTTTCCTTTATAAAACTTGAATATTGAATATTTTACTCAAGAGATGTTTAGTTTTTTTTAATAATCATTTGACCCCATGGTTATTGCATTGCAGAAGAAAATTAAGTAGATATATATAAAAGATTTGCCCAATATATCAAAATTAAATGAGATCAAGTCTAACCATGCATACTCTCTCTGTCTTTTTATCAAATCCGCGGTACCGGATAGTTATATTGGAACTTGACTAATTCGAGTCAAATCAAGATGGATCACAAGGGCATCAAAACTTTCTTAATGAGTTTCTAACATAATTATATTTCTTGTTAGTGTTTGAATCTGAGACCATTGATTAAACTAACGCATTTTCGAATTAACCAAACTATACAGTTAGAGCCTATAATTTGAATTAAGTTTGACGAATCAGCTCTAACATAATCGAAAAAAGTTGAATTCGAGCCTAATTATATGAGTTTTTTAAGAGGATATAATGTTTTAAGCCCGACCCTAATTAAACTCGACTCAAATAAGCCCGACTACTAGAATTTTTAACTCTATATATGTAGAGTCTGTAATTTTGATCAAGTCTAACAGGTCAACTTGAACTCAGAAAAAAAGTTAGGATTGTACTTGGTTATATAAGCTTTTTAAAAAGAATAAGATACTTTAAGCTTAATCTAAATAAGATCAGCTTGAATTGAGCCCAACCCAAATGAACTTGGCCTGCATGAATTACTGACTCTATGCATGTACAATGGTTGGTAGTCTAACCCTAC